TACAGAGGTTCACATGGGTAACTGTTATGGCTGGTGACGGCAACCAAGTATCTGCATGAAGAGATAAAAGTGTATTTATCACATTGTCAAAATAAATAGGCTGATTTACATAAGAATATCTATTTCTTAAAGATCGTAACACATCCAATGTGTCTATTCTGTACTGATAGTAAGGCAGCAGAGATAGCTATCTTTTACTTATTACTTCAACACCTTGAATGGCCAGAGTCATTTTGATTCAAAAAACTTGTATATTGCAATGTTTGTGTGGCCACTAAAAATACCATTTTACATAGCTCATCCACTCCTTATCAACTGATATTCTGAATCCTATTTGGGAGGGACAGTGAGCCAAATGCCAGGAGTGTCCAAGATGTAAATATCAGAGCAATAACAGATTTAATTTGCTACCCTTGAAGTCATGTCTTTTCTTTTCCTTTCCTTTTCTTTCTTTAAATGTTTCCTTTATAAAAATGCCACAGTTCACTGCACTTGAAAATTAAAGACTACAGTGTAAAGATCAAGGTTTGAGTTTGTCCATTCCTAGCCACAAAAGGAAATTAAAATCACCAATCAAATTCCCATTCCTTATTACAGTGATAGAAATAACTCAGAAAATACCAAAAGCAAGAAGTACATTTTTGGTATTCTTGGTGCATGGCATAAACAAGATTATACACTCTGCTTAATGGGATCTTGCACATTTTTGAGATTACATATTTGATTGTTAATAAAATAAAGAGTATACATACACTTAGAGATTATGAGCCAAATTCTGCATTTATTTACACTGGTGGAACTCTACTGAAGTCATAGATTCATATTTTTCAAGTCTAGAAGGGACCACTGTGATCATCTAGTCTGATTTCCTGTATAACACAGGGCATAAATCAGTATAGTGAAGTACAGATTTGGACCTAATAAATGTTTGGGCATAAATGATAATTATAGCATACAATACCAGAAATTAATAAATATGAAGTATGATTGAAACTAGTTAATGTGCTAACTTGTTAAATGTACAAATAACATTAATATGAAGACGATATCAAATGGAAGTAGACTAAACAAATTAAAGAAAGATGACTTTACCACTTACTTTGACATCGTGAACAATTTTGCGAATCATTGCACTGGAATACCAGCAAATTTCATTTGTGTGATGATTTCAATATGTAGTTTGAGGGGTGAAAACATTATCTACTATCAGCTAAACTTTTTCTAAAGCTGTATATTTATCTTCTGCAATCTACTTTGCATTGATTTAATCAGTCTCCTTTAAATACATATATACTTAATTTATACTTCTGAAAACAACTTATAATAGCTGCATTTTATACAACTAATTTAAGTCTTTTAATTTATACAAATTTGCCATAGGGTTTTAAACTGTAGAAAATGTGTAAACTTAACAAGTTGGCAGTGATAACAGCTTTGACAGAGGAAATTAAGTCATCTGAAGAACAATTAGGTTGAAAGCAGATTTCTGTTTTTATTGCAGTAAAAGGTACATTTTAAAATATTTAGCCACTCTCTGATAGACAAGTTTACCAAAGACATTGTAGAACCAAGACACATTCACCCACTTTTATTTTTGTTCGAACCCATATTCCATGCTTCTTGGATTTAGTCAACCCATTGCTTCAATGGCGGTAGCTAGACATATTGAGCTCTGCCATTCTTAGAATGACCTGGTTTCTTTGTACAAAAGCCTTTTAGAGATAGGGGCACATTCTCTCCTGCAACAGAGCTTTGCTCAGTGCACCCTAATTCTGGCCCCCTAATTCTAAGAGCCAGCCTTCACTTTGACACTACTTACATCAGCTGCGGTAAGATCTAATTTATGCCACTGGCATCGGATCCTTAATAGATCTTATGCCCATGCAAGATGGGTGGATTGGAGCAGGGCAGCACCTTTCCCCCAAATCTCTCTTCCTCCTACACCAGTGGAGAAGGGGCCAGATTTAGAAAATTAATGCCCAGTAGAGTGCTCACCAATGCCAGAAGAATTTTTTTTCTGATGATTTGCAGCTGCCTATGGTTCCTTTATGCCATTTAAGGGGTTGGTATCATCATTATAAATCTAGGACCTGCCAACCTCTCTTGAAGGGATAAGGGAATTCTGTGAAGTTCCCTTTGCAGAGTTGCCTCTGACCTGTTCAGTGGCAGAGAGTGTTAAGCTCCTCATGGGATTCCAGTCCTAAAACATTGCGGGTTTTGTGCAGTCTCCATACAGGCCCAATGCTTCAGCCTCTGCTACTGACTTCATCAAATACTCAGAACTGGAATCCTGAATATGCCCTGGCGTGGACATGAATTTACAGCCTCCCTTTCCTTATCAGGGCCGGCGCAACCCATTAGGCGACCTAGGCGGTCGCCTAGGGCGCTGCGATTTGGGGGGCGGCGACCACGGCGGTATTTCCGCGGCGGGACCTTCTGCTGCCTCTGTGGGGGGGTGGCATTTCGGGGCGCTGCGGAAAAGCTGGCGGCGCTCCTGCTCCCCATGTTCTTTCATCACTTTCCCCAATGTTTTTGTGTACTGGGAAAGAGAAGCCAATATGCACTGCTACTACTGGACAGGAACAGGCTGTAGTTGCCACTGCAGGACTTCCTGAGCTGTGAATAAGGAACACGAGTGGGAGGAGGAACACGGTCAATTTTCCATCCATGCGAGAAGTCTAAATGCTACAAAAGTTTCAGATTTTGGTATGTGCCCAACCACTCTTATTGGAAAATAATGGATATGTACAGTAGAAGGGCATAAATACATTGAATTAGGAGGATAAAGAATTCTTGATTCCCAGTTCTGAGACTGCAATTCAAGAATTTTAACCTATTTTCAAAGGATGTTTTGAACAAATATGTTTGAAATTATTCTCTCACATATTCATGTTTGAATTCCTGAAAATATTTTTGGCATTAAGTTTTCTGTGACTTCCCTTGGAAGAGAACTTCTGCTGTATCAAATTACTGTGTTCCTTGAGCTGTACCAGCACATGCTCAAAGCAGCCAATCATAATCAAATACATTTAGTAGAACCAGGATCTTGTATTGATTTATCAAAAACCTGAAAAATTGTTTTGGTCAATATTGTAGCCAAACTCAAAGCTAATCTAACTTTACACACCCACCTAATAATCAATGGTGACTTAAATAAGAGAACAGCACTTTCTTTTGCATGAAATGTGTTTTCATGTCAAACTTCCTTAAAGGGACACACTGAACCCCAAGTTGTCAGTTCCAATAGCATTTGTCAGCAGATTCATTTCTGATGGTATTTCATAATGGAAAAGGATGGCCAATATCTCCCTGACAATAGTATTGCATATTTCTCGGTCTAAAGATTACAGAGATAGCTTATCAACAGTGGTCTTTTCTATACATAATGATGAATGAAAATTAGTATGCAATGATTTGTTGGTCC